TTTGGATTCACGTAAAGTTTTGCCACTTTACGTGATAGGTGGCTTGTTGGATAGTAGATCTATGGATTGGAGCCCCTGCATGGCTTGGAAAGCCATTGTATGGATTAAGAACTAGAGGTACCCGACGAGTCACATGGGTGAACTCGGCGAGTTGGATGAAGATGAGCAGGAACCCGACGAGTTGGAAGAACAACTCAGCGAGGATGTTGAATGTTGCCTTGGACTCGGCGAGTATGTTCTTGGAGTCGGCGAGTCTAATCGTGGAGTTCTAACCTTTTTGGGTTGAGCTGTGAATCAGTGAGTCGTGGGACGACTCGGTGAGTTGAGTGAGAAAGGACTCATAGTTGTTGGACTCGGCGAGTCTTGGGGTGACTCGGCGAGTTGAGTCGTGAATTGGGAGTTCTGAGTATAGGGACTCGACGAGTCAGTCAGGAAGGTTGACTTTGACTTTGATCAAGAGTTGACCAGTTGACTTCCAGGAGTATTTTTGGTAATTGTTGGCAATTATTTTGAGTTCAGTGATTTGGTGTTGGCTAGTGGTGGAGATCGTGTCAGTGGTCGGAGCAGCTTGGTCTTATATTTTTAGTCGACAGTTGCAGGTAAGTTATCCTCACTATACTGACAGGGTCTACAGCACCAAGGCCGACCCTCTATCGGATGGAAATCCGGGTATTGTTGTTATGTTGTTGTTTTGCTTTGTTTGCATCCTGGTAGTTAGGATGGTATACATTAGGGACCTAGTTAAGGTCGGTATCCTGATAGTTAGGATGGTATATGTGTGACCGGAAGATCTTATGTGCTAACAGAGTATGAGATATATGCTGATAGATGATATGAGAGTTGTATGTGTCAAGTTATGTTATGAGCAGTATGTTATGGACCGGAAGGTCACCATGTTATATGCGGTTATATGATATGTATGTGCTATGTATGTCATGTATGATAAGGACCGGAAGGTTAATATGATATGGATCGGAAGGTCAACAGAGTATGGACCGGAAGGTCAACAGAGTATAGACCGGAAGGTCAACAGAGGTATGGGATGGAAATCCCCTGAGACATTCGGATCGGAAGATCCCATGGAGTCATGGCCTGGAAGGGCGTATGTGTTGTTATGGCCTGGAAGGGCGTATGTGTTGTTATGGCCTGGAAAGGTGTATGTGATGTATGTAGTATTTTGGGGGTAATTCACTAAGCTTTCGGGCTTACATTTGTGGTTTAATGTTTCAGGTACTTCAGGAGACCGTGGCAAGGCAAAGGCGTGATCGTACCGCTCCTCGTGTTTATGTTTTATGATATGGATCTGAGAAAAATACTCTGATAATAAAAGTATTGAAAGCTTTTTTGTAATGAATTAATGAAAGTGAGTTGTTTTTGAAAAGTTTAAATTGGTTTGAATTTTTACGGTGTTACATCTCCGGTCCCACAACTCAGATGCACCCTCCGGTCCCTCAACTCAGCATCTCAATAGAATACACAGGAAGCTTAACACAAAGCAAATAGCAGAATATCTCATTAAATAGCTCATGCACATAAGACCATTTGGTCACACATAAAAATTACCACTCAAGGTAAGTATAGTGAGAAGACTCACCTCGGATGATGAACAACCCCTATAACGCTGTTGTTACACGCCGACCTCTAACTCTGAGTCAAAACCACAATTAACCCGTTTAGAAACTAAGTCCAGACTCTCACTCATTAGATATAAAGGAAGACCACTAACCAGCCCATTAAAAGCCTAAAGCCCATTAGGCCCACCAAGGTCAAATAATAAATGGGCTCGCCCGTGGCCCACTCTCAAAACTAAATGGCAAGCCCAACATAAGGGCCCAAGGCAAATTTATAATATTTCTCTGCTCATAGTCTCTAACTCACAAGCCCAAAGATTCAGGCCCAACCCTCATGGCCCATGATAAGATCCAGCTCAAATGCCCACAGTGAAGTTACACGGGGCGTACCTCTCTTGGTACTCTCAACGTACTCATGCATGCGTGAAACTGATCGGGGACTCCAACCCAGTACGCTGGACGTACTGGAGCTTACGCTAGGCGTACGTCTAGTTTTGCTTTAGTCCATTCTCTTGGTCTTAACCCCTTAAGACCTTTACTCTTTTCTCATATTTGGTCTCCCTATCATCTCTTACTCCATAAAGTTAGTGACTTTAAGCCTTTGCATGGCTGATAAGGTCACAAACACATAAAACTCTTATTCTCTTTACTCAAATCTCATGCATGGGTTGATTCTCACGTTCAAGACCTGCATTTTTATGTATCCTCGTCACTAGAAACACTTAAAAGGATAGATATTGAGCTCTGGAGTGCAACAACTCATAAAGCATCAAGGTTTGGGGCCAAAAGCCCTAAAATGGACCATATCATGCACAAAACAAAAAGGATGGGAAAGCTTTGAACTTTATACCTCCAAATGATGCTCCGACCACAGAAAAGCTCAGATCCAATGCCTGGACTCCATCTTTATTCTCTTCCATGCTCCTTCTTCACTCCAAAAATTCCACAATAACACTTATAAGCTCACAATGGTCACACACAATCTAAAGAACGAGGATTAGGGTTTAGGGGGTTTATTGTAACACCAGCAAAATTAGGGTCAAAATTTAACTTCTATAAAACCATAACTGGTATATACCAAGTGGTAGATAATGTAACAAGGTTTTCGGAACTATAGAGAACACTAAAATCTGAGTTATAACGAAGAGGTTATGACCAATCAAAGATACGCGACAAAACTGACAAAACATAGTTGAGTGTAAAAAGTGAGTTTAAGATAGACTACTTTTTAGCCTTAATTATCTTAATGAAAGTTGTAGATATGTCTCCACCTTCGCGTGCATATAAAGAACGTGGAAAACGGGGCTCGTATGCAAAAGTTATGGCCTTCCGAAGATATAGCTGTCTGAGAGCACGACGCGTGTCAGCAACCCTAATTTAACTGAACTCACGACGTGAGCATCATTTCTTATGACGTGAGGAGTCAAATCACCACTTTTCAGGCCTAGATTGCAGAAGTCAAGTCTACGTATAAGACTCATGACGAGTGCAGTCTGAATGACCCTTCCAGAGCAAGTTGACGAGTGACGCATGCCATGAGCAAATCGGGACCAAACTCACGATGTGAGAGTCGAAATCTTGTCCATAAATAGAAATTGAATCCTTCCGATTTTGGCTGCTCATTTCCATCATCTCTCCTACTTCTACACGCTATTAAGCATTTCTAAACCACCCCGAAGCCCCGGTAACACCTTTCACACACGAAGCGAGTCCCAACGCTCTGAATCTCCTAAAAAATTAACTTATTTCTAGTCGAAGTACTGACCGTGTGAAGTTCGTTTCTTCACCAAAAACTCGCGGTTACGTCAAGAACGATCCTTCTTAGAAACAAAACTCTTCTCGATTCACCACTTATCAGGTGAGTTCATACCCCTATAACTACATTTTCAAATGCTTTGTAAATGCTTTTATACACTTTTAGGGGGGGGGGGAATACAAGTGAACACACGATTATCCTCATGTGAATAACATAAATAGTTTGCTATACTTTTTGTTATAATCAATCATATATGATTTATAACTA